CTTGGTCAAGTTGTGCTGACTTCATCTACATTGGGCACTGTCTTTTAATTGGATTATTTGTCTTTTTGTTGTTGAGATGTTGCAGTATCTTGCAGATTTTAGAGATTAGACCCTTGTCATTTATGTCCTAGTCAAATTTTTTTTCCCCAGTCTGTATGTTCTCTTTTTACTCTTTTGATGAAGTCTTTTCATGAGCTAAGTGTTTAACTTTTAGGAGCTCCCAGTTATCTAGTTTATCTTCTGATGTTTTTGAATTGTTAGTTATGGTTTGTATCCTATTTATGCCATGTATTAGGGTCCCTAGCACTGTCCGTATTTTTTCTTCTATGATCTTTATCATTTTAGTTTTTATAATTAGGTCTTTGACCCATTTTGAGTTAGTTTTTGTGTATGGTGTGAGATATGGGTCCTGTTAAAGAGAATGTCTTTTCCCCATTTAATGAACTTTGGGCCTTTGTCAAAGGTCAGCTGACCATAGTGGATGGATTTACACCTGGGTTCTCAATTTTGTTCCATTGGTCTATGGGTCTGTCGTTGTACAGTACCAGGCTGTTCTGACTACTGTAGCTGTACAGTAGGTTCTGAGATCAGATAGTGTGAAGTGTTCTACTTTGTTCTTCTTTTTCAATAATGCTTTACTCATCTGGGGCCTCTTTTCTTTCCATATAATCTTAGTGACTAGTTTTTCCATCTCAGTAAAGAATGCTGTTGGTGTTTGAATCGAGACTGAGTTATATCTGTAGATGGAAAAAGCAACATTTTTATTTTCTGGGACCAACATAATATTTTTTTGGATCTGAGGTGGCTGGTTAATAGTATTTAATGCTTTGAATTAATTTTCCCCCGTTGGCTGTATATACAAGCAATCTCTGCAAGTCTTTATTGATTTTTAGACTTTCCACATAATTGATATTGTCAGTAATGCATTATCCAGTTCACTACTTTCATAAACATGAAACCTTAAGGATTGATCTCTCTTTTAGTTGCTTAGTGCTGCTGTAACAGAAATACCACAGATGGGTGGGTTAAAGAACAGAAATTTATTTTTTCACAGTTCTGGAGGGTAAAGTCCAAATCAGGGTCTTGGCCGTGTCAAGTCCTCCTTGTTGACAGCCCTGGGTGTTTTCTGATTCTTGGTGATCCTCACATGGCATCTGTTTTCCGCAGTATGCACTTCTGGGTCTAGTTTGCACTTTTTTTTATAACTCAGAAGTGATTAGGTGTAAGACACACCCTACACTGATAAGGCCTCATTAACATAAAAAAGAAAATCCCTAATTCCAAACCGGAAATAGAGATTAGGATTCCAACACATATTTTGGGGGGACAAAATTCAATCCATAACAATTTCTTAAGAACCTTCTCTGGACTTCTACGACCTCCAGGATACTCCGATTCTTCCTCCTGAACCCTCAGCTCTGTCTGAGAATAGCTTTATGGAACCTTGAGAGTGGGAAGGAAAGCTGTAATGTTCCTAAGGGACAGTCCACAGAATGGCTGTGTTTTCAAAATATAATTAGCCTGGGACATCTGCTGAGTTCAGTTAAGAATCTGAGCATTTAATGGAGGGTCACTATGAGTCAGAATGGACTTGTTGACAGCAGTGGGTTCGGTTTTTTTTTTTTTTTGCAGAGCCTGTGGGATCTCTGATGATACAATGGTTAAGTGCTTGGCTGCTAACTAAAAGGTCAGCAGTATGAGCCCACCAGTGGCTCTGCAGAAGAAAAGACCTAGCAATCTGCTCCTGTACAGATTACAACCTAGCAAACCCTATGGAATAGTTCTACTCTGCCCTATAGGGTCTCTATGAGTCAGAATTGACTCGATAACACAGAATAACAACATGTGCCTGAGGTCCCTGGGTAGTGCAAACGGTTTGCAATCAACTACTAATATGAAAGTTGACAGTTCGAACCCACCCAGTGGCACCACGGAAGAAAGGCCTGGCAATTTGCTCCCATAAAGATTGTTGTTGTTGTATGCCATAGAGACGATTCCGACTCATAGCGATCTTATAGGACACAGTAGAATTGCCCTTAGGGTTTCCTAGGCTGAAATCTCTGTAGGAGCAGATCACCAGGCCTTTTCTCTTGCTGTGAAGAGTATAGCCAAGAAAACCCTATGGAGCAACTCTATTCTGCACACATGGGGTCTCCATGAATCGGCATTAACTTGATGACAATGGGTTTGTTTTTATTATGTTTTTTTCTCATGCCTGCATCTGGGAGGTGAAAACCTACACACACTGAGGTTTATGTCCAGTTCTTGCTGTCCTAGCAACAATTTCTGCCTTAATATCACTTTGTTTCCTGTTTATTTGCTTATTATTTTAGAGGTAACAGTATCAGCAGAGACAGAGAATAATGATTAGAATTAACTCTAGAAGATATAAACAATGGATTTTTCCTTGAAACACAATTTTTCAGTTTTAGTAAGAAATTTGTCAAATTTCTGTTGGAATTTGACGGAGCAAAGTCATCTGATATTTATAGATATTACTGTAGTGTCTTGCCAGAGATAGGAATAACGTGAAGCTATATACATTTATCACAAAAAAGGCCTTAATTCCATCCAAGTTAAGGGCTATATTTTCTAAGACTAATTGTTCAGATAAGATTAGTGCAATTATTCCAGGTATTTATACTTGAGTCCCTTGACAGTTCAGGTGATTTCACACTCTGTTAAACTTAAATGTTGGGTATACATCTAACTCCTTATATGTATTTGGGGCATTACATAGTTTAACATCTCTGAAAGGCTGCCTTGCTTCCTTCTTTTTTGAGCCCCCTCTACCTCATGTTCAATACTGTGGATATTTGGGTTGTATTTATATCTGCAAGGAGCCCTGGTGGCACAGTGTTTGAGAGCTACCACTGCTAACGAAAAGGTCAGCAGTTTGAATCCACCAGCTGCTCCTTGGAACCCCTACGAGGTAGTTCTTCTCTGTCCTATAGGGCTGGTATGAGTTGGAATCAACTCGATGGCAAAAGGTTTGGTTTTTTTTTGGTTTACATCTGCAAAGAATATTTTGCTTGGGAGATTTGTTCTGAGATAAAACAACATGTTAGTTCTCCTGAATACTTACGACTCTCAGCTTTCACCACTTCCTACTGAATGAGAATCATTTGCCTTGTAAACAGAATTTTGCAGTAACCTCATGCTCATGGAGATTAGAATCTTCTGTTGGACTGAGAAGCTCATGAAAGGTAGAAAGTTCAAGCTTGGTGGAGCTTCCGCTCATATATGGGGAGGAGACCCAGGGAACTAGCTCAGAGGAATTTCCAAGGTCCCTGCATCCCAGTTAGGGGCATGATGGGGACTGGAAGCCAGTTCTTCCTGCTTGTTCTGCTTCCTGCCACATGATGGACTGAGGAGTCACCCAGAAGTCAGCCCTCTTGGTTCATTTGTACTTGATGCCGGAAACAAAATTGAAAAATGCGGGACTTGGGGGAAACAGGATGATAGGAAGTGAAGTTAGTGGAGTAGAATGTAGCACAAGTGGACAATAAAATGCAGGCTTAAACTGAGGAACATCCTACGTCTGTATAGCGTTTGAAACAATTCTTTTTTCTACTTCTTAGAAATAACACACGCTTAATTTAGAAAACTCTCAAATGGATAAAGAAAATGATTAAAACTACCCTTAATCCCATTGTCAAGAAATAGTATTGATATTTTGGAATTATTTTATGTAATGTTTATCCATATACACATACACACACAGGTAAACACATAAATATTCACCCAAAAACCAAACCCACTGCTGTTGGGTTGATTCTGACTCGTGACGACCCCATGCATTACAGAGTGGAACTAATCCATAAGGTTTTCTTGGCTGTACTCTTTACAGAAGCAGATCACCAGGCCTTTCTTCTGGGTGTACTTGGTGGGTTTGAATCACCCACTTTTAGATTAGCAGTTTAGTGCAAACTGTGCCGCCCAGGGACCTCATATATACATATATATACACATACATACATGTATATGTATATATACGTTGTTGTGTGTCATTGAGTCTATTCTGATTCATAGCGACCTATGTGACAGAGTCGATTCGCCCCATAGGGTTTCCTAGGCTGTAATCTTTATGGGAAGAAGCACAGGTGGTGCAGTGGTTAAGCGCTCGGCTGCTAACCAAAAGGTTGGTGGTTCAAACTCACCAGCCGCTATACAGGAGAAAGACGTGGGAGTCTGCCTGCATAAAGATTTACAGCCTTAGAAACCCTATGAGGCAGTTCTACTTTGTCCTATAGGATCACTATGAGTCAGGATCAACTTGATGGCAACAGGTCATCTTTATGGGAGCAGATCACCAGATTTTTCTCCCTCAGAGCGGCTGGTGGGTTCGAAGCAGCCTTTTGGTTAGCAGCTGAGCACCACCAGGGCTCCTTAAATAAATAATCAAATTAGTATCATGCTGCATACGTAATTTTGTATCTTGCTTTTTTTCATTTAATATTATATTAGGATAACTTTCCTATATCGTTCAACATTCTGCAAAAATATGATTGTTAAATGGCTTAATATTCAGGGACTTAAAAAAAAATTTATTATTGTAAGTGGTGAACCCATTGGAACTGGGCAATGTGGAACAGAACATGTGTAGAATTAGAAGAAAGTAGTGCTGGAGTTTGGTGCTATAATCTGAGATGTCAGCATGGAATGAAGAGTGACAACCACTGTTGAAAGCTGTCAGTCCTTTGCAAGGTGGTTTTGAAGCAGGTGACAGAAAGTCAATTCAAAGCTACATATTCAAGACAATGTAATAGTTTCCTGTTTTTTCCCCTCTGTGGGCATAAATGTATAACACAAAGCTCTGTTTTAGGCCATAGACTGATCATTTTAGGCTGCCACTAGATAAATCCCTCATCTCTTGACTGTAAATGACTCAAGACACATAACTGACTCTTCAGAATCCAGGCATTGATTATCCAGCCCGTTCTGTCCCCCTTCAACACTGGCCTTTAGACCGCCTCGCTGTTTATTACATGTCTGCCCGAAGCAAGGCAGTTGAAGGAGGAGAAGGAAAAATTTTAAAAAATCCACTTTGTTCCCTGTTACCTGTTTTTCTAAAAGGTGCAGTGAAGAATGAGGGAAAGTACTTGAAGTGCATGGCTTCATTTAGAACGTGTGTTCCCCGTCGCCATCGGTAATTGGGACCTTGCAGAGTATGGAGCACCACTGCCACCTCAGAGATGAAAGTGGAATCCAGGATCAAGGCCTGTTTGTCATCTGGGGGCTGTGAGGCCATTTGGAAGAATAGAGAAGGCTCTGCTTCTGGAAAGAACTAACGGAGAAAAGGGCTGGGGTGGCGATGACACACAGCCCCCCTCTAGTGCTCTGGGCATATAATGCCTTTCCTTCTCTCTTCTCCTATTTCCACAGATTTCAAGTATATTGATCATTAAATAAGCTAATTATGTTTCCTTTCTAATGAATTAAACAGAATTCAGGTAGGGAGCACAGTACTTTAGCTGAACAGAGATTTTTTTGTAATGATTCCAGGAAATATTCCTTTGTCTAATAAATACACTCAAGGTACCAAGAGCAATAAAGATGCAGGGGTATTTTGCTTTCTTTGTACCTTCATTGTGGGTTAGGTTGATGATGAATCTATTGCCGGTAGGATATGGTTTCCTCTTGTGCAGAAATGCCAGACTTGCAACCCTGGGTGGGGGACGGACTCAGAATTTGATTTCCTCCTTCCTCCAGCAATTTTCTGCCTGCCTGCACGAAATGCTAATGAACATCTCACACATGATAGGGCAGTGAAGTGTATCCTTATTCTACTATTTTTGGCAGATTCTGACTTTACAATGTCTAGGTCTTAATGCAACAAGAACAAGATACTGCTAACAGGCCCTTCTCCTTCCTTCTCCAAATGTGTGCTCTCTCTCTTTGTGCCAAGCGGATGTGTGGTGTCCCTGATCTGAGGTAAGCTCTGCATTGCTGGGAGTCAGTGGTGGTTCAGTGGTAGAATTGTCGCCTTCCTTGCAACAGACCTGGGTTCGATTCCCACCCGATGTACCTCATGCTCAGCCGCCACCTGTCTGTCAGTGGAAGCTTGCGTGTTGCTATGGTACTGAACGGGTTTGAGCAGGGCTTCCAAACTTAAGATGGACTAGGAAGAAAGGCCTGGCAATCTGCTTCTGAAAATCAATGTATGAAAATCCTATGGATCCCCAGCTGATCATGGGAATGGTGTAGGACCAAGCAACATTTTATTGCATTGTACATGGGGTCACCATGAGTCGGGGCTGACTTGACAGCAGCTAACAACAACAACAACTACAACAGTAACTACATTGCTGGGACCTCCCCTGCATCTCATCTCTTTCTATCCTACCTTTGTCTCCAAGTCTCTGGGAAAAGCACAAAATAAGTCTTGAATTTTGATCTCAGACCAATTCAGATATTAATTACCAGTTGTAAATGAGTAGCATTAAAGCCAGATTTCATTTATTTATTATTTGCTGGGGGTGGGATAGACACGAACAGGGAGTTGAACATGCTAATGGCTGCAGGTTAAATACCTAAATGATTTTATAATTACACTCTCAAATGATTTTACATGTAGGAGGGATTAAAGTGAAAACGGAGTGTCTGGTAATCAAATTTTAATTTAGGGACTTGTATGATCAATGGTGTCAGTGGGAGAACTTAAGTTTGGGCATGGCGTCCTTCATTTGTGGAATCTGATACTGGTGGTACTCTGATACTCTTTCCACATCTGCAGGAGGGCCACCCACAGGTTCTGTGGGTGACAGAAGAGTGCATGAGGCCCAAGGATGCAACCTTGCTAACTGCAGAGACAACATTGATTGATGAGGAGCCCAAACATATGAAGTTGGGCTTCACCCTGCTTCCTATTTGCAACCCACTCAAGGCTGCCTGTGACATTCGGCATGGTTTATTTCAAAGGTGGAAGAGTGAGAGAGAGGAGAGATGGATTTTGTACATGCAACAAAGCTTAAAAAGATCCTGGACAGAGAGGAAGGGGAGTCTGGGGATACATTCCCCAACACGAATCCAGTTTGTCCAGAGTCCCCTGGTTCTGAGGTTTAATTCAGGCTCCGTGTCTCTTTACGTCTGTGACCTTCTGCTCTCCTCATTTATCTTCTCAGTGATCTCAGAATTTCTAATGTTTGATATTGGAGTTACTATGTAAAAGTCCATGGCTGCAAAATATGCAACCTAAAGGATCCTTTGATCGCTAATATACTAGGGTAAAAATGTGTTTATTTTTTGTTTCTCTTAGTTTCTGTCATATAGGAAAGAATTGAAAAGATGCCACAATTGGATAACTAACTTGGGAATATATTTGCTCTACTATAAACCTCATCCCCAAATAGGCTAGGGTGGTAAATTTATAGTAACTATAAATACTAAGAAATAAGAGTTGGGAAAGATCCTTCACTTTTCCCTAAGAGCTTCAATGTTTGGAGAAAAAAATATTAAATGAGTATTTGGGGCTAGCATGGCAAAGGTTGAGAAAGTTTTACTGAAGATCACAAACGTATGAAGACTGTAGATTGGATTGATGTGCTGTGGCCCAATCTAGGAATACCAGGCTAACTTGAAGCTTGTGAATCTATAGAATATACATCTCACAGAAGAAGGATCTGAAATATAAACTCAAAAGAAGCTTAGATAAATAATTATGGGTTATAAAGGAAGTTATAAATGCTTGGATGCCTAGAGGGTGCATTTACATCTTTGTTTTTAATATTCTAAATGTTTCTTTTAACTGATTGTTAAAAACCACCTGTGGTATTTCTGTTATAGCAGCACTAGATGACTAAGACACTGATTAAAATTATATTCTTTTTCAATAGTTTGGAAAACATAAAAAGGAGGAGGAAAATAAAGATTAATACCACCTTGAAGACTCTTAACTTTTTTTTAAATTAATGTATTTATTTTTTATTTGTACTTTAGATGAAGGTTTACAAAACAAATAGTTTCTCATTAAACAGTACATATATTGTTTTATGACAATGGTTAACAACCCCATAACATGTCAACACTGTCCCTTCTCAACCTTGGGTTCCCTATTACCAGCCTTTCTGTCCCCTCCTGCCTTCTAGTCCTTGTCCCTGGACTGTTGTGCCCCATTAGTCTCATTTTGTTTTACGGGGCTGTCTAATCTTTGGCTGAAGGGTGAACCATAGGAGTGACTTCATTACTGAGCTAAAAGAGTGTCCAGGGGCCATACTCTCGAGGTTTTTCCAGTCTCTGTCAGGCCAGTAAGTCTGGTCTTTTTTGTGAGTTAGAATTTTCTTCTGCATTTTTCTCCAGCTCTGTCTGGGACCCTCTGATGTGATCCCAGTCAGAGCAGTCGGTGGTGGTAGCCAGGCACCATCTAGTTGTACTGGACTCAGTCTGGCAAAGGCCGTGGTAGTTGTGGTCCATTAGTTGTTTGGACTAATTTTTTCCTTATATCTTTTTTTCTCATTTTCCCTTGCTGCTGAAGAGGTGAGACCAGTGGAGTATCTTAGATGGCTGCTCACAGGCTTTTAAGACCCCAAACGCTACTCACCAGGGTAGAATGTAGAACATTTTCTTTATAAACTATGTTATGCCAATTGAGCTAGATGTTCCCTGAGACCATGGTCCCCACAGCCTTCTGCCCAGCAATTCAGTCCCTCAGGGACTTTGGATGTGTCTATGGAGTTTCCATATCTATTCCTTGTACAAGTTGTGCTGGCTTCCCCAGTATTGTGTACTGTCTTACCCTTCACCAAAGTTACCACTTATCTATTGTCTACTTAGTATTCCTCCCCACTCCCATCCCTCATAACAAGCAAAGATTGTTTCTTTTTGGGTGTAAACTTTTACTTGCCTCTTTATTTTGATGAGTAGGTTTGTTAACTTTCTTTGTGGTTACCATGAAATTTACCCTTATCTTCTTAAGTTTGAAGCAGTCTATTATTACTAGGTATTGCCTTGTCTTCCTCTCCATTAGAGGGTTCTATACGTACACCGTTTATTCCCTCTTTTATTGTTCTGATGTTGTTGTCATTTACAGATTGTCTTTGATTCCCTGTTGTATTTCTTTTGGTTTTGGATAGTCCTTGAGAGTTCATTTCCTAGACTGATATCTGGCTGGTATGATCCTGCATCCTAGATTCAGCCTGTGGGCTGATGTTTGTTCTCAGGTCGAAGGACTCCCTTTAATAATTCTTGTCAGTTTGGTTTGGTTTTTACATATTCCCTTAAATTTCTGTTTATCTGGAAATGTTCTAATTTCACCATCATATTGGAATGAGAGTTTTGCAGGATATAATATTCTTGGCTGGCAATTCTTTTCTTTCAAGCTTTTATATATGTCATCCCATTGCCTTCTTGCCTGCATGGTTTCTGCTGAATAATCTGAGTTTAGTCTTATTGTTTCTCCTCTGTATGTGACTTTTTGTTTTTCTCGAGCTGCTCTTAGAATTCTTTGTTTGTCTTTGGTTTTGGCGAATGTGATTATGATATGCCTTGGTGTTTTTCTTTTGGGGTCTATCCTATATGGGATTCATTGAGCTTCTTGGATGGCCAGCTTTTCATCTTTCATGATATTGCGGAAGTTTTCTGTCAGCAATTCTTCAATGATCCTCTCTGTGTTTTTTGTTTAATTTGACTATGTCTGAGCAGGTGAGCTGTGTGTTCTTGGTTGTTTGCTTGTCTGTGGGTGCGATACTTTTCACCTCCTTCTCCAATTGGCAGGATCAGTCACTCAGATATGGTACAGCAGGGCAGGTCTAGCTGAAGAGGAGTTGCTGGGATGGATTGTTTGTGGCGTGTATTAGGGTCAACAGGGCGGGCCAGCAATCAGTGCAGGGCAGGTTCCAATAGGCCATGTCTGTGCTGCTTGGGTGTGTGATGTTCAGCGTATGGTGCAGTTAGGCAGGATGGAGGGGGAGATTGTGATGTGTGGAGCTAAGATGGGTATGGGAAAGAAGAGAGAGGAACAGGAGCCAAAAACATACAAACAAACAAAAAAGAGTGCTAAGGGAGCTTGCCATTGGAGTGGAGAGATGAGAGAGTGAAACGTGGAGAAAAACAAAAAGGAGAAGAAGAAAAAAAAGAAAAGAAAAAAATGAATAAAAATTAGAAATAAAAAAGAGAGCAAAGCCCCCAGGGATCCCACCAGTGGGGCTGTGAGGGCTGGGGAAGTTGCGCCCAGGCCGTGAACCTGGCTAGAAGAGGTGGAGGTGTCACTCAGCGCCAGGTATTCAGGAGACAGGAAGAGAAGGTAAGTATAGACAGATGAGAAACTGAGTAATGAAGAAAGACAAAAAGGGAAAAAGAGAGAAAAGAAAACAAAACAAACAAATAAAAAAAAAGAAACAAGAAAACCCCCCCAAAAAAACAGAAAAAAAAAAAACCAAAAAAGGAAATGTCCTCAGGGATCCCTCTGTGTGTCTGTGCAAACTGAGGGGGTAGGTCCCAAGCCGCGCAGTACTGCCTGGCTAGAACAGGCTCCCAATTCAAGAAAAGAAAAATAAAACAAACAATCAAACAATTCAAAACAAACAAAAAAAGCCCCGGGATCCCACCAGCGTGGCAGCATGGGCCGGGAAGCAGTTTCACGTTCAAACAGTGTTTCACAGCCTTTCAGGAAGAAGCAAAGATGGTGCATGGAGCTAGGTATTTGAGAGAAAAGAGGCGGAGGTGGTGAGAAGTATGGAAGAAATCAAAAGAAGTAGAAAAAAGCAACACAGCAGCCAACAAATGTCACTCAGGGAGCTGGCCACTGCGGGCAGGTGGAATCCAAGCAGCACTGGGGTGAAGCCAGTACTTCCTGGCTAAAAGACTATGGCTGCAGGAAGCAGAGGAGGCTGAGTGGGGGTGAAGAAGGGTGGGGGGTGGGAAAGTGTATATCGCTGGTTACCTGTTGTCCTGTCTCCTGCTGGAAGCTCTGTGAAGCAGCTTTCCAGTACTCCCTGTTCACTGATCTCCAATAGGAGTCCAAGATGGTGGATCCATGCTGCATTAGCTGATAGGGGACCTCTGCATTTATCTCTCCTCACTCTCTGTTCTCTGTCAGTTTCTTATTCCATTCAGTGCTTGGCTGAGTTCTTTATCCCTTCATTTGATGCTTAGGGTTTCAGGATTGCTGTTTTCTCTGTTTGGCTTAGTTTTTCTGATCTTTGCTGTGGAGGGACGGTGTGGTGCTTCTTTCTATAGCACCATGTTGCCCGGAAGTTGCAGACTCTTAAAGTTTTGATGTATTTACTTTCACTTTTCCCACACTGGTTTAAAATTATCTTAAAGTTGTGATCGATTTCAATTTTGTATTCTGCTTTAATATTTTTGTTTAAGCCCAAAGATTCTCCCCAAGTTTTTAAGAAATTTTAAGTGTGCATCAAATGCCATTTACTGTAGGACACATTATTATTTTAATGCTTCTATGAAAGAAAAAAAGTTTCCAATTAAACTGTGACACAAAGCCTTAGTAATAGCCTTGTGTGACACAATTTATTAATCACACCATCCTTTTGATGCTTTCACATTTTTTCATCCCTTGCAAGGATTTGGCAATTCTCTTGCCTCTAGTTGCATTGCCCGAAGTGTAGGAGGTGCTTCCTTTGCATATTCCTCAGGAAACAAAATGTAGCACACCTTCAGCCATTTAGGTCCCATAAAACACTTACTTGGTTGTTGCTTTCGGGGAAAATATGGAATAGGAATTATTCATTCTATGGTAAATATTTACTTCACTAATTGGAGCCCTGGTGGCATAGTGGTTAAAAGCTGGGCTGCTAACCAAAAAATCAGCAGTTCGAATCCACCAGCCACTCCTTGGACTGAGGCAGTTCTACTCTGTCCTACAGGGTCACTATGAGTCAGAATCAACTCGATGGCAATGGGTAATAATAAAATTTACCCCCTGTTGCTCTGTTTATATGCTTTTTTCTGTACACAATAACTCCTGATCTCAATGCTGTATTATAGCATAACTCTTGAAGACATTTGAAATAGCTGTTAAATCAACATGGGTAGTGCCAACAATTTACATATTTCAGTTGAAGTAATGACAAAGTGAACAAAGTCCTTGCATGCACGGCATGACAGCTATTTCATGCCTGCTGCCTAACTGATGATGCTAATAAGATGCTAACTATTATAAGACACAGTCCAATTTCAGAGATGTTAAAATGTAGAAAGAGTTGAATCTTATCATCAATGAAATGTGGTTTATCATATTACCTGGATTTAATTAACCATTTCTCTATTCTAAGCTTCTTATTTATAAAAATTTACTTATTTATATAATATATATTTTTTTCTCTAACAAGTAATTTTGAATATAATATTTCATTGCGTTTATGATTATTGCTTTGGAATGGATTCCCAGAAGTGGAATTTTTTGGAGTATAAACATTTTTAAGTTTCTTGATCTATATTCCCAAATTGCTTTTCAGAAAGGTATTGTTGTTAGGTGCCATCGAGTTAGTTGTGACTCATAGCAACAGAACGAAACGCAGCCTGGTCCTGTG